ATATGTTTTGGAGAAAAATAAACTAAAGAAGATTTGCCTGAGCATTACATCCGAATTCCTTACCAAATTTAAAATAAAAGTAAAATACGGAAAACAAATACTAATAATAAAAATAAATAAAAATAAAAAGAGAATTAAATTTAGTGAGTGCACGAGCATGTTTTCGACACCGCCATCTTTGGCGATTTTTCATTTTTTTTTGCCATAGCTAAATGCCCTGAAAATTTACAGATGTGTACTTCACATAATACAAAACCCACTAAAAAAGTTTCAAAAAATAATAAAATTGTTTATACCCGAAACTAAAGTGAAAACAAAAAGTAAAAAGTGAAAAAATACCTGGGGGAGCACGTTTTGACACCGCCATCTTTGGCGATTTTTAATTTTTATTTGGCTAAGCCAAATGACTTGAAAATTTACAGGCATGTACCTCACGTCATAGAGAACTCGCAAAAACAAATTCAGAAAAAAATAATTATTTTTAGGCCCCGAAATAATTTTTGGCGGGGGCCGAGCACCGTCGGGTTCCGACCCCGTACGGGACCCCGAACAGCCGTACGTACGAAGGTCTGCCCGGGGACCTTCGTACGTACGGGCTGGTGACCCTGCTCTCGAATTAATTTCGAAAAAATTCAAATTAATTTATTCAAAATTAATTCTTGCTCTGCGATTCTCTGCTTCCTTCATCGCTAAATCACTTGATGACACTCATTCTTGTAAATAGGAATTGTCCCCCCCATCTCCACATGCCACCACGCCAAACCAAGGCCTCCCATCGTGCCGCCGCTGACGCCGCTGCCACTGCCGCCGCCACCGGTGCTGATATCACATCCGCTGCTACCGCCTCCACTTCTGCTCCGGCCACGTCATCCAACCCCGCTTCCCCACCATTGGCCAATCTTCCATCAACATGTCTGATCTTCGTTCCGACTTCGTCAACAACATTGCCCGTGAACTTGCAGGCGATCAGCCAACTTCGACCACCACTACCCCGGAACTCGCAACTATCCTCCAAACGTTGACCGCCCTCAAATCCTCCCTCGTCACCATCAACACCACCATGACAGCCATCTCCGATCGTGTCACCACGCTCGAGGGAAACTCCCCCGCCATCACGATCGTCACCACGACCACACCCCCCTCCTCCACACCCCAACCCACCCCCTCCATCCAGGTAGTCACCACCAACACCCCCACGTCCACAGTCGCCTCCAACCACACCCCCCCATCGACCTCCTCCACTCCTACTACCTTTACCACCACATCCACCACCTCTGACTCCTCCACCCTTCCCCCCCTCTCATCCGGCGCTTCCCGCGCACCGCCTCGTTCCTCGCCTAACCACGTCACCCCTCTTCCCCCCCCGCACTCCCATACTATCCCACAACCCATCATGACGACCTCCACCATCCCCACCCCCGTCCCACCTATTCCCAAGTCACCTCCAGGGTTTACCCCGCAATGCCACAAGTTCCCCCCAACTACCTCCTTGACGACAACAGCCAATTCGATTACACCTGCTACAACACTACCCCCGATAACCTCAACTTCAACACCCTCGCCGGGATTGTTTCCCGCGAAGGGGAAATCCCCCGTTCCTTCCGACCCGCCGACATCATGCCCTTCTCAGTTCCCCACGAGGACGTTTTCCTCTTCTTTACCCAACTCCAAAGCTCTTTGAAGCTTCACCACATGCCCCTTGTCCATTGGCTTCCCATTGCCACCTCCCGCCTCCTCGGCAATGCCGCCAAATGGTGGATGGGCGAAGTCAGCAACCGCCGCGCCTCCGGACGACCGCGTCACTCCCTCCTCCAATGGGCCAACCTTCTCATTGCCACCTTCCGCCCCCAGAAAACCATCGATGACTACCTCGAACAATTTTGTCACCTCCGCCAACCGCTTCATCCAATACATCCGCTCCCTCCGCCATCACCTCCCCGCCACCGTCATTCCCGACTTCGCGTTCATCTCTCGCATCAAGCAAGTATGCCACAAAGGTCGTACAACTGCGCTCGCCGACGAACCCAACATGCACCTTGCTGACCTCCTCTCTTGCATGCTTTACCACGATCGACTCCTCCACCCCCATCACCAATCCACGCCCGCTCCTTTCCGCCCCCGCTTTCTTCCATAACATCACCCCTGACAACACCACTCCACCCACCTCCGATGACGACTTCGACACGCTTCTCTCAACCCCTCCCAATTCACCATTGAGGACCTCCAGGCCACCCACCTTATGCGGATGAAACGCTAGGATCGTGCCTCCCGACCGCCTTCTTCCTCTCCACCCGGCCGTCTCCATAAACTTACACCCGCAGAACGCATATACCTCCAGGAACACCACTGGTGTTTTCGTTGCCGCCAGTTAGGTCACCAACAGACCAACTGCCCCAACGCTAGCCGCTTTACTCGACAAGCCCCTCGCTCCACGGGACCCGACCCTTCTACTCCCACTTCCTCCTCCACCGCGACAGTCGGGCCCTCCTCCACCTGATCACTGTCCCCCTGTCCCTTGCAATCCTCCCCAACATCGACCACTTGTCTGTCGGCTCTCCCATCGGTGACGATCTCTCCATCGGTGACGATCTCTCCTCCACTGGTGGCCCCGCTGACGACACCACTCCACCCACCTCCGATGACGACTTCGACACGCCTCTCTCAACCCCTCCCAATTCACCATTGAGGACCTCCAGGCCGCCCACCTTATGCGGATGGAATGCCAGGATCATGCCTCCCGACCGCCTTCTTCCTCTCCACACCGTCTCCATAATTGTACACCCGCAGAACGCATTTACCTCCAGGAACACGAGTGTTTTGGCTGCCGCCAGTTAGGTCTGTTGCACCCACCTCCGATGACGACTTCGACACGCCTCTCTCAACCCCTCCCAATTCACCATTGACGACCTCCAGGCCGCCCACCTTATGCGGATGGAATGCCAGGATCGTGCCTCCCGACCGCCTTCTTCCTCTCCACACCGTTGTCTCCATAATCTTACACCCGCAGAATGCATATACCTCCAGGAACACGAGTGTTTTGGCTGCCGCCAGTTAGGTCACCAACAGACCAACTGCCTCAACGCTAGCCGCTTTACTCGACAGGCCCCTCGCTCTGCGGGACCCGACCCTTCTACTCCCTCTTCTTCCTCCACCGCAACAGTCGAGCCCTCCTCCACCTGAACATTGTCCCCCTGTTCCTTGCAATCCTCCCCCAACATCGACCACTTGTCTGCCGGCTCTCCCATCGGTGACGGTCTCGCCTCCACCGATGGCCCACTTGGCATCGACTATCCGTCTGCCTACCCCCAAGCGACGCAATCTACTCCGCCTGCCCCCCTCCCGACGATGTCTACTATCCCGTCGGTCGAGCTTCCCACTGGCACCTGCTCTTCTACTCTCATCCCCAACCCCTTCTCTACCACCTTCTCTGATCTCGTCGAGGAACAAGCACGACACGAACAACGCAGCCTCAACACCATGATCTCTTCTGCTTGTACCGAAACCACACAGTTCCAGCTCAAGTTTATCACCATCTCCCTTCGCGAATCGACGGTGAAGTTCTGGGCCCTTATTGATATTGGTGCCACTGGCAACTTCATCATCGAAGCCTGTGTCCGCAAAGTCAGCCTCTCTTCCACCAGCTACGACTCCCCGATCACCATCCGACTAGGGGATAAGGACTCAACCATCATTGTCCATTGAACTGTCCCCGAGACCCTCATGACTGCTGGTCCTCTTCGCAGTCAAGTCTCCTTCGATGTCTTGCGACATCGTCTTGGGGACTCCATGGCTTGACTGTTTCATGCCCTACTCCTTCCACCTCGCCTTCTTCCGACTCCCCCGTCCTCCTGACTCTCCTCTTGATATCCCTTACCTTCTCCCCCCTTCTACCCCACCCCCTGTCTCCCCTCACCAGTTCCTTCACATATCTCGTGAACACCCCGACTCCGCTTACTATTGTCTTGTTATCGACCACGAGCATCCCGAGGACTTGCTTCCAATGGACAAACCCGACCAAGACCCCCCTTCCGATCCTCACATCACCGCTCTCCTCTCTGAATTCAAGGAAGCCTTCCCCGAATCCTTTCCCGCCGATTTACCTCCCGATCGAGGTGTATCCCACACCTCTGATCTCGAGCCCGGCCATTCTCCTCCTTGCCGCCCTCCGTACCAACTCTCAGTCCCCGAGGCCGAAGAAATGAAGCGCCAACTCAATGAACTCCTTGAAATCCCCCATCGGAACCAGTTGTCTCTTTGTCAAGAAGAACCGCACCTCGAAACTCCACACATGCACAGACTACAGTGCCTTGAACCGGATCACAATCAAGAACAAGTACCCACTCCCCCGGATATCTGAACTTCTTGATCGCCTCCGTGGAGCCAAATATTTCACCAAGATCGACCTCCGTAGTGGCTTCCACCAGATCCGTATCCGCGAGGAGGACACCCACAAGACCGAATTTCGTTCTCCGTTCGGGCACTACAAGTCCCTCATAATGCCTTTCGGACTCACCAATGCCCCCGCCACATTCCAGTCCACCATGAACCACATCTTTCGTAACCTACTCGAAGTCTGTGTCGTCGTGTACCTTGATGACATCCTCATCTTTAGTCCCACCTTCAGCACATTCGCCAAGTCCTCTCGATCTTCCGAGAGCAAAAAATTATACGCCAAGCTCAAACAAATATACGTTTGCCGCTTCGAGCGTCGAATACCTTAGCCACACTGTCTCCGCTGAAGGCATCCATATGGACCCCTCGAAGGTCAAAACCCTCGTCGAGTATCCCCCGCGCAAGACCCTCCTCCAACTTCGTTCCTTCCTCAACTATTACCGCCCGTTCATTCGCAACTTTTTCGAGAATTCTTACCCTCTCCACGAACTCACACGCAAGGACGAGCCCTTCAATTGGAACGATCGTCGCCAACACGCTTTCAACTTCCTCAAGCAAACCATCACCACGACCCCTGTCCTCAAGATCGCCGACCCCACTCACCATTTCTATGTCACCACTGACGCCTCCGACTTCGCCATTGGAGCCGTACTGTTCCAACATTGCCCCCACGACACCGTTGAGACCCCCTCCATCAAGGACTCGCCCACTCACCCCGAGGCTCCAGTCGGTGAATACCCAATCGCCTTCGCAAGCAAGAAGCTCCTTCCAGCGGAGATGAATTACCCCTCCAACGAGAAGGAACTCCTCGTCGTGATTCACGCCCTCACAGTCTGGCGCCCGTACCTCCACGGACAATACTTCACCATCCGCACTGACAACACCATCGTTTCTTCCATCCTCACCAAGAAAGACATCACCCCACGCCAAGCTCAATGGCTCGACTTTCTTGCCCATCTCACATTCACCATTTGCCACACACCCGGCAAAAGCACCCGCGTCGCCGATTCCCTCTCTCGACGACCCGACCACAACCCGCCCAAGAAAGTCTACGTCGCCATGACCCATATCCAGCTCCTCCCATCACTTCATCACCGATACACCCAAGGCTACCTCTCTTGCCCAAACTTCGTCGCCATTTACAACAAGCTCCGCGATCTTGACCCAGTCCTCGACTACTCCCTCCACGACAACCTCCTCTACATCGACACCAAAGGCACTCGCCGACTGTGCATATCCCTGACACACCGATACGCCCAAGGCTACCTCTCTTGCCCAAACTTCGCCGCCCAGTCCCCGACTACTCCCTCCACGACAACCTCCTCTACATCGACACCAAAGGCACTCGCTGACTGTCCATATCCCTGACACACCGATACGCCCAAGGCTACCTCTCTTGCCCAAACTTCGCCGCCATTTACAACAAGCTCCGCGATCTTGACCCAGTCCCCGACTACTCCCTCCACGACAACCTCCTCTACATCGACACCGAAGGCACTCACCGACTGTGCAAATCATTGACACACGTGGTCTCTGTACCCAACTCTTGGCCGAGCACCACGATGCCAAGACCACAGGTGACCACGGTTTCCAGAAAACCTTCGACACCATCTCCCGCTACTTCTATTGGCTCTCTACTCGCCGACATCAAAACATACGTTCGCTCATGTCCCACGTGTCAGGCTATCAATCCCTCTAAGCAGGCCAAAGCCGGCAAGCTCCAATCTTTGCCCATCCCCACTCACCAGTGGCAATCCATTTCCATGGACTTCGTGTGTGGTCTCCCTAAGACCGACCGCGGGCATGATTGCATCGACGTCATTGTCTGCCGCCTGACCAAACGCACCCACTTCATTCCTTACACCACCTCACACACCGCCAAAGACATCGCCTTACTCTTCTTCGACCATGTTGCACGCCACCACGGCCTCCCCAAGAATATCATCAGCGACCGCGATCCCCGTTTCCTCTCACAGTTATGGAAACAACTTTTCAACGCCTACAAAACTACACAAGTATAACACTGCATTCTACCCACGGACCGATGGACAAACTGAGATGATGAACGATACTCTACAAAAAATCCTACAGAAGTACTGTCATCCACATCAACACGACTGGGATCAGTTGCACATTGTGCCGAGATCGCCTACAACAACGTTGTTTGTCCTTCCATTGGCATGTCGCCATTCTACCTTGACCTTGGCTACCATTCGCGCTTGCCCTCCGATTTCCTGCTTCCCTCGCAACTCAACCCCTCCACACCCTGCCCTGCCCTCAATGAATGGGTAGCAACAGGGTAGCAACAATGAATAGACTCCTCAGAGAAGCAACCGAAGCCCTCGAAAGAACACAAGAACAACAAGCAAACAAGACCAACAAACATAGATGAGACTTGAAATTCGAATTAGGGGACAAAGTCTGGCTCTCTGCCAAACCCTTTGAATCTGAGCATGGATTGTCAAAGAAACTCTCGAACAAATGGCTCGGACCCTTCCCCATCATTGAAAAAACCTCCGACGTCAACTACAAACTCCAACTCCCCCCAGCGTCCACCCGGTCTTCCACGTCGAATACGTGAAAGAATATCATGAATCCCCACCCCAATTCGCTGACCGCCCATATCCTAGACCTCCACCTATCATGTTACCCACAAACCCTGAATTTGTTGTTGAAGCAATCATAGGTCGACGAACCACCCGGAACCAATCACTGAATACAAAGTCAAATGGACCAGATACCCCGACGAAGAATCTACATGGGAACCTCTCTCGACTCTCAAGAATGCCATGAAACTTGTTCGCGCCTATGATCATGCTACTCCTATGTCCTAGACACCCACGTAACTACAACCCTAAACCCATGTATAAACCTTCCTACAACCTCGCAACCCCGTTCTACACACACCCTTGAACCCAGTCCACCCTCCCCTCGACCCCGATTCCTGATGTCTGATTTGCCCTTGCCCTCGCCTAGCCTTGTCCCATTTGTCCTCTCCACTACCTTGTCTCGCTTATCCAGGGCTTGTGAACCTGCGTGACGCCGGCGATAAAGGATCTAATGGCTAGAGCACGAGGACGATGGCCTGCTGCTTCACTGTTCATGGAGATTATGCAGCTGGTTTGGCCACCATGCTGTTTCATCGGCCAGCATCCCGACTCGAGGACTTCCTAGAGCAGCAACTTGTGACATGGATCTTTGCATCACTCTGCGACCTCCTTGCTTCCAGATTAGACCTCATTGCAGTTCATTTACCGGACACACCCTAGCACTTGGACTTTGGACATTTGAACTACTGTTACGTTTCTTGGACTTCTACCTGTCGCAGCCGCTGAAGACCGCTTCTACCACCTACTACAAGACCTGATCAAGACCGCCGAGATCCCCTTTCAAGACACTTGGACACTTGAACACTTTGTTCCTACATGAGATTCTCCTTCCGACTCCTTTGGACACACCAGCCCTTGCCTCCTGAACAAACATTTTCATTTTCATTTTTTTTCCTGACTTTGACAACCCTGTAGAACATCATTAGCAGATCCCTGCTTCCCTTACCATTGTTCCCCTTAACCACTAGAACATCAATAGAGATTCCCTGTTCACCTGACCATTGTTTCCCTTACCCACTAGAACATCAATAGAAATTCCCTGTTTTCCTTAACATCGTTTCCCCTACCCTGTAGAACATCAATAGAAATCCCCTGTTCCCTGAACATTGCTTAGCTTCCCCTATAGACCCACCCAGTCACATCATACCTTCACCTGTGCAGAACACCAAACAAAATACCCTGTGACTTGCATCACTCCCCTTCTCCTTCTTCGACCAGTGATCAGCCCCGTCCCGTCCTTCACAACTCTTTTTGTTTCCTTGGCTTTTTGGCAGCCGGGACGTTGCCTTTCAGAGGGAGGCGATAAAGTTACGGACTCCGCCAAGGCTCGATCCCTGGTCCACCTTTTTGTCATTTCTGATGCATCCAATTTTCGGCCCGGCACCCCTTTTTCCAAACCCCTCCTTTGGTACCATCGGATTTTGGACAACTGGCGCCATGCTGCAATTCGGGCGCCACTTTCAAAAACCGCAGTTTTCAGTTCTGCCCTCGGGGCTTTTGCAGAAATGCTCCTGGTACCGTACGTGTCACCGGTACTTATACCGGCTCCCCGTACAGTACGGGGACCAGTCTCGTACCAGTTTTCAGCTGCCGTACTCGTACTCAGTGTGACTTGCTGTTTCGCCATTCGGAATCCAAGACTTCGACTTTGTGCCCTTGCCACTGTGTCTGCGTCCGACCCTCAGTCGTGTCGAGTGAGTGAGTGTGTGTGTGTGCTCTCACTCTCTCCCCCTCTCTCTCCTCTCCCTCGGCTCTCCCTCAGCCTCGCGCTCGTCACACTGCTGCAATTGCGTCCAAGTGTTTGCATGTGCTAATGCTGACCGGGCCTCACACGGGCGCTGAGAGGTGTGGGCTGCTGCAGGGCAACGAGGTGCCAAGCGGCCATAGCCAAGCTGCAGGGGCGGCGACAGGTGGAGCGACGGTGGTCTTCGGGAAGGAGGCGCAGGTGTGGGTGGACAAGGGGTGATAAGGGGAGTCGAGAATACGTACGTGGTGTATGTGAGTGGTCGACATTCGTGTTGACGTCATGTACATTGGTCTTCGATGTGGAAGCGAGCCTGTTTCATGAATGTAGATAGGTTAGATAGGATAAGTAGAGTAGGCTGGGCGCTGGGCACCAAACGGTAGGAGCTGCATTGAATACTTCGTTGGGGTGGCCTGAGGGCTTAGACATTGGCTCATGAGTTCATCATATCGCTCTTATTTGGATGGATTCTTGGTGCATCTCTGCGTGTTACATGACCATCTGGACTTCTGCGTGATTTCCCAATTTGGTTATCTGTTTATCGCTCTCACTCGTGTTCCTTGCAATTTGGTATTAGAGCTGGTTCGAGATCGCCATCATCCGGCGCTGGTGACATTGTTACTTGGTCCGCTGACGATGCTTCTGTGCAATAAGGATACATTGGCACTGGCTTGAGTGAGCTACACCCAGATATAGGGGTGCATCGCTGGAAGGCTGTGGCGACAGCGTGGGAGCTGTCGCAACAGTGGATGTATGTGTGATGATGAGAGCATGCTGATGTGGCATTTGTTTGAGGTGGAACTGCATTGCGTTGTGGGTGGTACCAAAGTTACGACCGGTCATCGAACTGCTCGTTGGCTCAATTGGTGAAAAATATGTCGTTGGGAGCAGCTATCTCCAGCTACGTTGTTCCCTTACCTTATCTTCCCTCTCAATCTGTTCTTACCGTGAGGATGTGAGTCCAACCTTGAGTGTCCTCTTTCGAGACGCGCTCTAGCTTGAGAGACGACATTCTTCCCTGTGGTGCATCTGGCAGGAGAGGGCAGTGCCTCTGAAGGGCCCTGGTCGAAGCATGGGTCACGGTCACCATGCAAACCCATGGGAGTAGTACACGCAGGCCATGCTGCTTTGTCCTTTAAGGCTCTTTGCTGCACTAAAAGAGGAATCGTGGACTGACCAGTCCTATGCAGACACAAACCAGACCATCTATAAATATTTCTGGAGGGGTTCTGATCTGTACACTGGCTGTGATCGTCATCCTGTTTGCGACGTTAAACAATTCCTGAGGACCTTGGGGGCAGTCGTTAAAATGCCTCTTGATGATGCGGATCAGTCATGCGTAAGGCTAGTTGCACGCGTGCTGATCATAAGCGAATTCCTGGGCATAGGGGTGGGCCGTTAATGCACACCTTAGACACCGCTGCTTGACGATGCGGACAGACACGTTGGATAGCGGGGAAGGAAGGTACCATTGGTGATCAACTGTTAATCACAACCATACCCATTGTGCAAACATCTGCTCGCATGATTTATTTTTATTTTGATTAGTTGGTGGGCAGACTGCTAACACCTGACAGACAGCCTAGATCAACACTTTAGTGTTCTACCATGGCCAATTCTCATCGAAGCTCCTGTGAGTGAAACTAATCAGAGAGTCGGATTAGATCATGTGTACAGTTTGTGAAGATGTTGTTAAGACCGCTTGAACAGTAGCCTTGGTG